CTGTAAAAACTCATAAAAACTAACGGAGACAAAGGATCAGTGCAGAAATGTGTAATAACTGCTGTGATAAAAYAGGCAAATGAGTAAAAAATAAATGAAATGTATAATTAATTTTTACGTTGTAACATTTCTGGATTAAAAAAATAATAATATTGAATGCTGTCATATTTAGTTTTTTCTTTGGTTTTTATTTTTATCTGTTGTAAAACCTTACTGTACAAAAAGTGTTATAAAGAAAATTAAACTTTTTACGTGTTTTCTAGATTAAAACTAAAGTTATTAAAACACACAGTAGGATGTCACCATCAGCTTCTATTCAACTCTTATTTTCTTGTTTCTTGATGCTCTGTATGTGTCATCAGTGGGTTTTTAATGGATCTGATATATTTTTAATATAAATCTGAGATTTATAGGAATTGTTCTCGATACAGATTGAGGTAAAATCGTGATATTTTCTCCACCGTGTACTTGATCCTCTCGGGTCAGGAACGACCAGGATTCCTGACATTTCTGCTTCATATTTGTCCTCTTTCAGTTGGCTCTGAGGTGAGGCGACTCCTGCTCTCTGTGTGGGTTTTATTATTATTATTTTTTCTAAAAGCCTGGTTTAAACTCAGCAGAATTTCAGGATGTGCAGCGTTCGTGGCCTGCTGCACCTGCCTTTTGTTTATTTTAAGGTCAGGAAGAGGAGGGAGRAAAAGAGGAGAGCGGATGGTGGGAGACGGCCACATGTTCCCGGCTCTGAGGTGCTCCTGTGTTCTCCCCTAACTGCCTCATGAAAGGCACTTTTGTCCTGCAGTGAAATATATCGCCCTTCACCTCCTCTTGATGCGGTCTGCCCTCCTTTTCCCCTCCCTTCAAACGTGGGCTTCGGCCAGAATTTTTCTTTTCTCTCTCTGAAGCTTTCGGCTGGATGGAAAACCTGTAATATATAAAAGCTTGGCGTGAATAAAGGATGGGAGGGGTGCAGCGACGGCCTCCAAATTCTAATTTAGAGGCCAAATTAAATACCTGTCACGGCCTCTGCAAGCGTTCCTGAGAAGTGCAAGCCAAATATCGGTTATTACTCTAATTATTTTTGTGATTTTCAGTGATGGGGCGCAGGTCGTCGGGGGTCCTTGTGTTGGAGACATGCCTGGGCTTGTCCTCACAAGTTCAGTCATGTTCAGGCCGGCTGTGGGCGTTAGCCGCTGAGGAGGGGAGGGGGGTGGGCGACATTTAAATACCTGCAGCTTTTTATATTTTAATCCTATTTCTTTTTGTTTATCCAGCTCTTCCTCCCAGGTCCACGAAACCAGCCGTGTCCACCGCGAGCAACAACAACAGCTGCCCGTCTGCGCCTGTGTGCTCGCTGCAGGACGCCGAGTGGTACTGGGGCGACATCACCAGGTAACAAAACCRGGCTGCGCCACTTCTCCTGCCAAATTTAGACTTTAATATTTTCCTGCCGGTGCAAAACGTGACCCGTCCACCGCCTCTCCTCGCAGGGACGAGGTGAACGAGAAGCTCCGAGACACACCGGACGGGTCTTTTCTGGTGCGGGACGCCTCCACAAAGCTGCAGGGGGACTTCACGCTGACGTTAAGGTAAGATAAAAACAAAATATTCAGATTCATTCATGGAAAGAAGGCTTATGTGATGACTTTCGACTGCTTCAACATCAAGTTTTAGCTCAGCGGCCAGCTTGAATTCTGCTGACTTCAAACAGTAATCATCCATAAATGTACATCTTGGTGAAAGTTTAATAAAACGTCTTGTGGTTCCTGAGATATTTTGCTAACACACAGACAGAGCTGACTTACTGCCCAGGTTTTAAGCACAGATGTTTGAGCTAATGCTACGTTAAATTTTAGATCAATATCCGTAAAACTCACTGAGTTTTAGAGGTTTGCTAAAATCTGTGGCAACTGTTTTTGAAAACGGTGATAGAGGAACATCTACTGTATTTATTCATGTATAATACGATCATAATTTTTTGAGATAAAAAGCATAAAAAATCTAATCATCAATAACCCATGTATTCTACATATATATTAGGGCTGCCACGATTAATCGACGACTAATCGATTGTTAAAATAATCAATGACTAATTTAATAATCGATTAATTGTTTTCTTTCTTTGTTTTTCTCTCCAAACTGCTTTGACACCTTCCACTGCCACKTCTGCCTTTCTGTCCTTGACACACATGCACAGTAGTGGTAACTGGGGTAGACCGTGGACGTCACAAGACATTATWCAGACAGGCTCTGGTATCATGGCTACCTGACAACAGAGCTCAAAGTGTGGGATCATTTTAAGAAAATGAAAGAGAAACCTGTGTAATATCTGCAGAGCAGAACTTACCTTCCACAGCAATTATTTTTAGTTAGCATTTAGCTAAAATCTAACCATGGTTATATAATAGCAGCTGCATTCTGACGTTATAAGCTCTATGTTTTATATTCAATTAACATATGATCTGATTAGTCGACTAATCGAATAAATAATCAGTGATTAATCGATTATAAAATAATAGTTTGTGGCAGCCCTATATATGTACTATACCCTCTATTTTATGGATGATTTTTTAGGGTTACATTTCTTGTATAAAACATGAAAAAATACAGTAATTAATACTTCCGTTAAATTCTGTCCCGTGGTACTGAGATCTAACATTAGATTAATGCACACAGGTGTAATAATCGTTTACTTTGAAGAATCCCTTCAAACAAAAAGGATCGTCTCGCCCTGGTTTAACCCAAGTTTTGCTTTGTTTTTCCCGTCTTGCTGTTTGTCTCGAGCAGAAAGGACGGGCACAACAAGCTCATCAAGATTTACCACCGCGACGGCAAGTAYGGCTTCTCGGACCCCCTGACGTTCACCTCGGTGGTGGAGCTGATCTGGTACTACCAGCGCCACTCGCTGGTGGAGTACAACGCCACTCTGGACCTGATGCTCACTCACCCCGTGTCCTGCTTCCAGCAGGTCAGTGTGCGCTTTGAATTTCAAAATAAAAGCTGCATTAAAGAAAAAACACTTTTTGATTCGAGTGTTTTGTCTTCAGGTGACAGAAAACAGCGTCGACGTTGCTGGGAGGAAACTGAAGGAGGTCCACAGTCAGTACCAGGAGAAGTCCAAGGAGTTCGACCGTCTCTACGAAACCTTCACTAAGACCTCCCAGGTGCGTCCAGCTCTCGGTTTATTCTCTTAAGGGACGAGCTTGGACCCAGGAAGGCGGCTCTAACGGGGTCTTTTCTCTGTGGTGCAGGAGATCCAGATGAAGCGCACGGCGATCGAGGCCTTCAACGAAACCATGCTGATCTTCGAGGAGCAGTGTCGTGAGCAGGAGCGTTACGGGGAGGAGTTTGAGAGGAACGAGGGCCCCGACAACGACTTGGACAGGTACTTATTAAACACGACGCRGTCTTTAAACGCACCTCTGTAGCTTCGTCTTCTTATTGCTTCTGATTACTTTATCTTTGCAGCTTCCTGATACATTACGAGAAGCTGAAGTGTCGTCTCGGGGAGATCTACGACAGCAAAGTTCACCTGGAGGAAGACCTGAGGACACAAGTGGAGGACTACAGGGAGACGGACAGGAGGATGAACAGCTTGAGGCCAGACCTGGTCCAGCTTCGCAACATCAGAGACCAGTACCTGAAGTGTGTATTGGACCTGCAGTAACGCTGAAGGCTCATTAATAAGCTTGTTGTAGCTGGAGTTGTGTAATTAATCAAGCCTTCCATCTCTTCYTGCAGCTGGCTCAATCACAAAGGCGTACGGCAGAAACGCATCAACGACTGGCTCGGGATACAGAGCGACAGTCTGGACGAGTAAGTCTCAGCAAGTCCTCTCGCAGCCGAAACCTGAACGTGTCGACGGCGGCGCGGTGTTTAAACTCCAGCTTTGTTGTTTCAGCACGTACGTGTTGAAGGGAGACGAGAAGAACCTGCCCCATCAGGACGAGACGAATTGGTTCGTCGGGGAGCTGAGCCGGACGCAGGCCGAGGAGATGCTCCAGGGTAAAGCTCCCGGAACGTTCCTGATCCGCGAGAGCAGCAAGCAGGGCTGCTACGCCTGCTCTGTCGTGTAAGTTCACACAAAACCTCGTGTCCAGACTCCTTAAAGGACCTCTGACATCACTTTATTTTATTTTAGAATAGAATAGAATAGAATAGAATAGAATAGAATAGAATAGAATAGAATAGAAATGGCCTTTATTGTTCCGCTGAGGGGAAATCCAGGTGTCACAGCAGCATTAATACAGAGGTTCACACACTAGTTTACAAACTATAGATAATGCACAAAAAACAAAATTACTACTAACTAGCAATGATACTACTACTGACAGTAAGAATATAATATAATAGAATAGAATAGAATAGAATAGAATAGAAATGGCCTTTATTGTTCCGCTGAGGGGAAATTCAGGTGTCACAGCAGCATTAATACAGAGGTTC